TATTCATGTTCAAATTATTTTGATGTTTAGACACCATTGAAAAGTTCTGAAACTATTGATCAACAAGAAGTAGAAGAAATTCAACAACTTCGTGAAAATCTTATTTCACTCACTGCTCAACTTGATGAAACAAAAGAAACATGGCAACAATATCAACAAACACAATTTGATATTTTACGAAATCAACTTCAAGATTGTTTATCAATTGATTCGAATATAACATTTGATGAAATTGCTCAACAAATTGTTGATCAAGTAACTAAAGAACGTGAAGATTTCACTGGAAAATATCAAGAATTAGAAAAACAAAATGATAATCTTCGTTCAGGTTATTTAATATTATTTAGTATTGATGTAATTAATATTATTTCTTTGTAGAATTAACAAATAATATGGAATCAATTCGAGAATCTTATGTAAATACAGTGAATGAATTAAATCAAGAATTACTTATTATGAAAAAACAATGTGAACAATTTGATGCTGAAAATCAATTATTGACTAATGAACTTGAAAAACAATCTATTCAAATTCATGAAGAACAAATTGAACCAACCATTGGTATATTTATTCTTTTTTGTACATCGCATCGAATAATTTATTTTTTCATTATTTTTAGAAAAAATTTCATTGAATATATTGGAACAACCATTTGAAGAGGTTTGTTTCAACTTGTTTTTTTTATTATTTTATTTTTCTTCTTTTCAGGTTCCTATTCATACTAGTAGTATGAATGTTGAAGATGAAGGAAAAGAACTTGAACAACTTCGAGAAAGAGTTGCTCATCTCACAACTCAATGTGCCCAACTTGATGAAGCAAATCGTGCTTGGCAACTATATCAAGAAGCACAGCTTGAGAATTTCCGATCAAAACTTCATGATTGTTTGTCTTTTGATGAAAATATGTCATTTGATATGATTGCACAACAGATTGTTGAACAAATATCGAAAGAAAGAGAAGATTTCAATGAAAGATATCAAGGATTAGAAAAAACTAATGATGTACTTTGTTCAGGTAGTTTTATCTTCATTGTCGATTTTCTTCACTTCTCTTGTTTTCTACATAGAATCGACAAATAATTTAGAATCAACTCAACAAAGTTATATAAATACAATAGATGAATTAAATCAAGAATTACTTGTTATGAAAAAACAATGTGAAGATCTTGATGCTGAAAAACAAGTTTTGTCGAATGAACTCGAAAAACAATCTGTTGAGGTCGATCAAAACTATCCTAAACAAACTACTGGTATGTTTCTTTTCTTATATACTCTACTAGACCTACGACAATTCCGACCTTGAGAACTGTTCCAACATTTCTTTGGATGGGAACTGATCTATATAGCAGTTACTTTTTCAATGAACTGGTGCCATCAGACTTCTCATTTTAACCTTTTCATTAGGTTTTATAATTGCTTCATTCTGGGTCATGTTTGTGAACTGCACAAATGTAATGAAATGAAGCTAACGGAAACTTAATGCTAGGATAGAAGGGCTCAATTCTCAAAACACGAACTAGTCACTAGACACAGTTCTAAAACGAGAGGTGTTCATTTGATACAGTTCTTAAAAAGGAATCGGTTCATTGAATTGAGAGCTGTCGCAGGTCTATACTCTACATTAAAGCATCAAATTTCTTTATTTTAGAAAAAGTATCATCAAACATACTACGACAACCATTTGAAGAGGTTTGGCTGGATTTATTTTATTTATTATTTAATATCTCTTGTTTTCAGATTCCTACTCATATGAGCGGCGTTACTGCTGAAGAAGAGAGAAAAGACCTCGAACAACTTCAAGAAACTGTTGCTTTTCTCACAACTCAATGTGCCCAACTTGATGAAGCAAATCGTGCTTGGCAACAATATCAAGAAGCACAGCTTCAAAATTTTCGATCGAAACTTCATGATTACTTCTCTATTGATGAAAATACATCGTTTGATATGATTGCACAACAGATCGTTGAACAAATATCGAAAGAAAGAGAAGATTTCAATGAAAGATATCAAGCAATAGAAAAAGCTGATGTACTTCTTCATCCAGGTAATTCTATCTTTATTATCAATTTTGTTTTGCTTATATTATTCTCTATGTAGAATTGACAAATAATTTCGAATCAGTCGAAGAAAGTTATAGAAATACAATTAATGAATTGAATCAAGAGTTACTTGCTGTGAAAACACAATGTGAACATCTTGACGCTGAAAAACAACTTTTATCGAATGAACTCGAAAAACGATCTGCTCAAGTCAACCAAGAACAAATTGAACGAGGCACTGGTATATTTATTCTTTCCAATACATCACATGAAATAATTCATTTTCTACTTTGTTTAGAAAAAGTGTCATTAAATCTAATGAAACAACCATTTGAAGAGGTTGGTTTCAATTTATTTCCTTCATTGTTTCATTTCTCTTATTTTCAGGTTCCTATTCATACGAGTGTTGTAGACGAACAAAATGAACTTGAACAACTTCGAGAAGCTGTTACTTTTCTCACTGCTCAATGTGCACAACTTGATGAAGCAAATCGAGCATGGCAACAATATCAACAGACACAGCTTCATGTTTTCCTATCCAAACTTCATGATTATTTACCTATTGAAGAAAGCACATCCTTTGATGAAATTGCCCAACACATTGTTAATCAAATAATTCAAGAACGAGAAGATTTCAATATAAGATATGAAGCATTAGAAAAAGAACTTAATAATCTTCGATCAGGTAATTTATTATTCATGATTTCTTATTACATTTATCTTTTCATTGCATAGAATCAGGTATAAATATTCAATCTGATGTGAATACTGTTAATAAATTGAATGAAGAATTACTTGCAATAAAAGAAGCATATGAAAAACTTGATGCTGAGAAACAACTTCTGGTTATGCAACTTGAAAGTTTATCAACTCGTTCTGAACCTAAACAAACTATTGGTATGTAACTTTTGTTCTATACTCAATATAACGTCATACAATTTCTTTGTTTTTTTAGAAAAAATATCATGGAATGAACCATTTGAAAAGGTTTGTTTAAACTATAGTTTTTGTATTTTTTATTCATTACTTTTGATATTCAGGTTCCTATTCATACAACTATTAAAGAAGATGTAGAAGAACTTGAACAACTTCGAGAACGTGTTGCTCTTCTTACGAATCAATGTACTCAACTTGATGAATCAAATCGTACATGGCAACAATATCAACAAACACAATTAGATAATTTTCGCAATAAACTTCATGATTACTTACCTATAGATGAAAATATTTCATTGGATGATATTGCACAACAAATCATTAAAGATCATGAAAATTTTAATGAAAAATATTCTGAGTTAGAAAAAATTAACGATAATCTTCTATCAGGTAATTCAATATAGATTAATGATTATGTTTATTTATTTATTTATTTATTTATTTTTATGTATCTGATCTGTAGAATTAACTATGAATATTCAATCAGTTGAAAAATCTTCTACAGATAATATCGATGAATTAAATGAAGAATTATTTATTTTAAAAAATCAAAATGAAGAACTTGAAAAGATTAATAAACAACTTCTTGAAAAAGAAAATTTAAATAATCCATTGAGTGATCGATCAATAGTTTTAGGTCATCATTCTGGATCAGAGTTAAATATAATTCAAGAAGAAACACCAATGGAATTAAAAGAAAATGTTTGTTTAAATATTTTGTTTTCTAATCTATTTATACTTTTATTTTTTCTTTTTTGTTATTATTTAGCTTGAACTTCAATCATCATCACCGATACCTATTGAAACTGAAGAAATTAATAAAATTCGATCTGATCTAGCTTTGATTACTTGTCAATTTAATCAATTAACAGAAACAAATCAAAATGAACTTGATTTATTTCGTTCGAAATTACAAAATTGGATTTCTCTTTTACCAAATTCAACACTTGATGAAATTGCTCAATTATTAAATAATCAATTCGAACAAAAATATAATCTCGAAACAATTGAAAATTCTACTCAAACAATTGAACCATCAGAAAAAATTCATATTTCTACAGAAACAATACGAATTTTATATGAAAATCATCAAACACAAATTGATCCTATAGATATGATTAATCAAGAAATTCAAACGGAATCATTTCAACAACTTTGGTCTATCGTAAGTTATCAAAATAAAAGGATAACTCATAAAGAATGGACATCGCAATATTTTGCATATTTCTCTACAGCTTTTCTACATAACAGGACAATTTTTTTTTGATAGATTTCTCGTTCGATTGTCTATGAATTTGAATTTATCGCTTAAACGAAACAGCATACCTTGTTTGTGTAGATTCGATGAAATACATAGATTCAGATGCGTTACTTTCAGAACTTTTCTCTTAATCGTACAAGATTTCAATTAATTATTAGTCTTAAACTATTATCCGTTTCAAAAAAGAATGGACTCGGTTGTTTGTTGAATAACTCGGCAACGCTGATAGCTATCGAGCTCGGGGTTTCACCATTAGAAAGAGCATAAGTTGGGGTACAAGTCTATCTGAGAATCAAAATGCTTGAAAAATTTTATAGGGAGTTTCAAGGATTTTTTGGAAAATCTCTGCCTAATTCGCTTGATTAGCTGCATTTTCAATTTAACTATATTGTAGCCCAATGTCTACTGTATAAACCTCGAAATTTTTAGGCGTTTTCGACCTTTCCTTCAAAAATTATCATACTATATGATAACCTTAACTCCGTGACTTTTCAAGTGAAGTTTCTCGTGCGTCATAAATCAATTTATTATTTTCACACTAATATCGTTTTAATACAGAAAAAAGGATACATCCATATTACGGACACTTTTGGCCTATTAAGAAAAAATATTCGCATAGTAGAATCAAGAGAAAAACTTGGTTTCGCACATGTCTAATCTAAAGAAATAAGGCATGCTTGTCCGTTTAAGTGAAAAATACATATGCAAAATATTCTCAGGTTCATTCTTTCTGAACCATCAATATATTAATCATCAAAAAGAAAGACAAATAAACTTTTTTCGTTTTTAGTCTCATGATGAAAATCTTTTTCCTACAGATGAAGAAGATAATCATTTACAAGATTATATTGATGAAATATATTCTTTATCATCAAATGATCTTTCAAATCGTCTTAATAAAGAATGTCAACAAATATTAACAAAAAAAAATATATCTCTAGATTCTAATGAAAATTATCAATTAAATCATTTAGCATTAATAACAATTTATTTACTTTATCATCAACATTTAACTGATGATGCTAAACAATTATATAATGAAACATTAATACGTGCACTAAAACAAGAATATGAATTAATAAATAATGAAAAAAATGATTATATTGAAAAATATAATTATATTGAAGAAAAATATTTAAATGAATTAAATATTAATGAAAAAAATTTTCATAATTTACAAAATAAATATGATGAATTACTTGAACATAATGAACTTGAACGTTTAGATTCTAAAAAATCATTAGATGATTTAATTGAACAATATAATTTACATGAAAAACAATATGAATTTAATTTATATAATTTACATAATGAAAATGAAAATTTAAAATTTAATTTAAATACTTTACAAGATAATTATGATAAATTATTAGAAAAAAATTATGAACAATTAGATATTGAATATCAACAATTAAGACAAGATTATAATGAACTTATTAATGAAAATGAATTATTAAAAGATTATAATTCACGAATGTATCAAGCTAAATTACAAGATAATAATGGTAAGAAACATTTTTCATAAATCGATTACCAAAAAAAAGAACTCTATAATTATATGATTGACGATCTTTTCAATAGAGTTTTTCAACAAGATCCCATGACTTCTATCTCTCATATCACTTTTAAAAATCAAATTTCGAGTCCAAACTTTGTACTAATAAAGTTCTTCATAAGTTGAGAAATTTATTGGTGCAATGTTTGAACTCGAGAATAGATTTTGATAGTAACCTGAACGAGTATCACAGTATTTTTTCTTAACATTGCTATAACTCAAACAGAAAGAATCATGGCGATGAGTTGTTTTAGACTTTCTTTAATCTCAATAGAAGCTAACGAATGAAACAAGACTCATATTGAAAACGATTTATTACTTAACGAGATTTTCTCATTAGTCAAATTGAAAAACATTAGTAAAAAACGGTTCGGCTGGAAATGGTCGCTTTAAATAGCTTTTTTCGCCACGCATACTGTTACGACCCTTGTCAACTGTATATACCAAGATAGAATACCCTACCGTCCTGGCAACTGTAATCATCGTCCTGGAAATGATTCAGCCATTTGAGTCTACAAAGGATGAGAAAAACTTCATTTCGGCATAAGATTGCGTAGAATATGGGTTTCTTTTAAATTTTTGTGTTATAACTAATAGTGATAATTATTTATATGAGTTGATTTAATTTAGATTCTGTTGAAATAAAATCATCACATGATATTGATATTCAATGTAATATATCTGAAGAATTATCTTGGAATAAGAATTGGAATGATGAAAGTACACATCAAGATTTATCTAATCAAGAAGAAAAATTAACACAATTATCTAATGATGATGAAATAAATCAATTAAAAACTATTCTATCAGATATTCAACTTGAAAATGAACATTTAAAAGATTTAAATTCACAATTATATCAAACAAAATTACAAAATTTAGATTCAATTACTGATCAAACTATAATAAAATCTCATGATATTGATATTCAATGTTTAATTCAACCTATCACTATTGATAATTATATACAAACTGAAATTGAAAATGAACAATATCAAATAATTCCAACGACATCATCAGAAACAGAAGATAATGATTGGAATAATCAAATATCACCTATAAGAATTTCATCTATAATGACTAAACATATAATTCAAGAAACTATTGATAATGAAACACAAACAGATGAACAATTACAAGATAAAACTATACAAATTAATAATAAATTAAAACGTGCACTTCAAATAATTAAAGATAGAATACATCAAATAGTTATTGAACAACCTGAATTATTTTCTCATATAAATGATGATACTATTGAACGTCTTGATCATTTAATTTCTACTATTAAAAATCAAGCAATACAAATTCATCTACTACAAAATGAACATGAAAATATATTAAATAAACTTCATCAAACAGAAATTCAATCAAATGTTCCTATGGATAGAGACAGGTTTGAATAAAATATCGGGTTTTTTTTATTAATTGAAATCGATTTTAGTGAACAAGATATTCGTTTAAATGAATATGAAAATCAAATTAAATCACTCATATATGAACGTGACATTCTTCTTGAACAAAATAAACAATTAGAAAAAAATATTCAATCAAATACTGATATGTATGTTTCAATCGAGAACAGATTTGTACAACTTCATCCTATTTTCCATTTTCTTTTTCATTTAGAATATCATCCAATCAAACAATTTCAAATGATAATTCAACACAAACTGATTTCAATCCAGAAGAACAACACATAGAAAATACAAACATTAATGAAAATGAACAATCAAATATAACAAATCGTTTATTTGGTTTTATTTCAAATGTTACATCATCATCTTCTTTAATAAATGAAATTATTCATCGTGAAACACAAACTGATGAACAATTACAAGATAAAACTATACAAATTAATAATAAATTAAAACGTGCACTTCAAACAATTAAAGATAGAATATATCAAATAGTTATTGAACAACCTGAATTATTTTCTCATATAAATGATGATACTATTGAACGTCTTGATCATTTAATTTCTACTATTAGAAATCAATTTATACAAATTAATAATCTACAAAATAGTTATGATGAAGCTCAACATGAAATCAATCAACTTCAAAGGTAATTTAAAAGAAAAGAACAACATTTTCTATTAGATAAATATCTTTGATTGCTTATAGTTCATTAGAAGCATGTCAATATCAGATTGATAATGAACATATAATCAAAACAGAAAAACTTGTTTCTACAACTCCATTAGTCGATGATATAAGGTTGGATAGATTTTGTTTTTTACATTTAATTTGATATCTATCATTTTGATTTTTCTAGTCAATCAACAATCGAAGATTATGAAAAACAAATTCATCAACTTCAACAAAAACTTTCTCAAAACAATGATGAACGAACATTACTTCGTGAACGTCTTAATGAAGTTGAACTTGAATTTCGAAAAACATTAGATGATCATCTATCAACAACAAACATGTATGAAGAACAATTACAATCACTTGTACAAGAACGAGATGCATTTGTTCAACAACAAGTACTTCAAACAACTGAAAAGTAAATATTTATTTTTAAAATTATTATTTTTTTTTATTTTGTTCTATTCTTAAATTTATTTGTATTTAGTCAATATGAAATTGAAAAATTACAAGAAGAATTAGCTCAATTGAAACAATCATCGATTACTTCACATGTTGACATTCCTTCAAATGAAGAGTAAGTTAATTTTAAAACTTAAAATTTCCTATGTAAAATAATATTATACACTACTTTAGTACTAAATCATTACAAAAAATAATTGAACAACAGTCTGAAGAATTAAAAGATCTCAGTGAAAAATATCTTGTACTTTCATCTCAAGTTGAATTACAAAATGAAATTAATAGACAAAAGTAATGAGTATTTCTTTGTTATACATATCTATTTTATTTATATAATATAGAAATGAAACTGAAGAACAATTAAAAATTTATGAAGATCAAATTCAACATCTTATTCATGAACATGAAAATCTTGTTGAAGAACTACAGAAGAAAACTTTACCAACTATTGTAACCGTTGATAATGAATGTCAAACAGATGATCAACAACATGATAAATTAACACAAATAAACATGAAATTAAAACGTGTATTACAAATATTTAAAGATAAAATACATCGAATTGTTATCGAAAAACCTGAATTATTTATTAATATTAGTGAAGATACAAGTGAACGTCTTGATCATTTAATTTCTACAATTGGACATCAAGCAACACAAATTAATCTATTACAAACTGATCATGCATCAACATTAGCTATGTATGAAGAACAATTACAAACACTTATACAAGAACGTAATGCACTTGTTGACCAACAAGTACTTCAATCAGTTGATAAGTAAGAGTTTAATCAATTGTTTCTGTTTTTTTTAGACACGATATTTGTTTTTCAATGAGTTAACACCAGAATTTTGTCACAGTTTGTTGTTCGAGAGTAAGGAAATAATCTTTTGAATGTCCAAAAAATGAGTTCGGATGGAATTCATAATTTTCACTCTTGTCATTTGAAAGTAAAAATCGAGACAGAGATGGAACTAGTCTGAGTTTTTGACAATCAGTACCAGTTTGAAAAGATGAGACTAGATCGGACCGGCAGATCAGTCAGTCTGAAATTCATAGCGGTACTGATTCTATTTCTGAGTTGAGGATCTTTATTATTTTTGGTTTTTCCTAAATATTCATTATTGAAAAATCGACAATCGTGTTATATTGAACGAAACTTTTGAAAAAAAAATCATTGAATAAAAACTACAGCTTAGTTCAATATCCCATTTTGCAGAAAAGTATCCGCTCTATATGTTCAGAACTCATAGAATTCGGATACTTATCTTCTAGAGAGTCAGAAGTGAACAAACATCTTGTTTGAAAAACTTTTCTGATCACGCCTTATTGTAAAAGTTATTATTTTAGACAACAAGAATCAACTGAATTGAAACAATCATTAATTAGTCAACAAGATGTAGATGAAGAGTAAGTTTTAATAATATTAATATTTCGTTTTTCATAACAAAATAAAAATTCTTATGTTAATGTAGTAATCAATCATTGAAAGAAATAATTAAACAACAATCAGAAGAATTGAAAGATCTCAATGAAAAATATTTTAATCTTTCATCTCAATTTGATTCTAATATTAATTTACAATTAGAATTTCATAAAGAAAAGTAATTATTTTAGTAATAAATTATTTGTTTTTTTTTTACTAATTATTTGAATATTATAGAAAAGAAATGGAAGAACGAATAATTAATTATGAAAATCAAATACAAAACCTTATTCATGAACGTACAAATCTTTTAGAAGAAATTAAAAAAATTACTTCATCACCAGTTCCTACAATCGACAATGAAAAACAAACAACTGATAAATTACTTAAAATTAACAATAAACTCAAACGTATATTACAAATATTTAAAGATAAAATTCATCGACTAGTAACTGAAAAACCTGATCTATTTATTAATATTGGTGAAGAAACAAGTGAACGTCTTGATCATTTAATTGCAACAGTAGAATATCAAGCAACACAAATCGATCTAATGCAAACTGAACGTGATCAATCCGAGAAACAATTACAAAATCAAATTCAAGAACTTCAACAGTAAATAAGTGAAACTGTTATAATCGATTTAATAATTAAGTGTTTATTTTTTACAGTTCTTTGGATGCATGCCGTTATCAAATTGAAAATGAGCGTCCAATAAAAACTGAACAACTTGTTAATGCAACTCCACCATCTGATGATATCAGGTTGAATAGATTTGTTTATTTAATGAAATCATTAATAATATTTCATTTTAGTCGAGCAACGATTGAAAATTATGAAAAACAAATTCATCAACTTCAACAAAAACTTTCTCAAAATGATGATGAACGAACATTACTTCGTGAACGTCTTAATGAAGTTGAACTTGAATTTCGAAAAACATTAGATGATCGTCTATCAACAACAAACATGTATGAAGAACAATTACAATCACTTGTACAAGAACGAGATGCACTTGTTCAACAACAAGTACTTCAAACAACTGAAAAGTAAATATTTATTTTTAAAATTATTTTTTTTTTTAATTTTGTTCTATTCTTAAATTTATTTGTATTTAGTCAATATGAAATTGAAAAATTACAAGAAGAATTAGCTCAATTGAAACAACTATCAAGTACTGAACAGAGCAATATACCATCAGATGATGAGTGAGTACATATAATCTTAATATTACTGTGTTGTTGAAATGAAAAATTCATATAAAGTGGAATGAGCGATTGAATAAAACCATTGATAATGATCAATCATTCTGTAATAGAGTCTATCGGGTCAAAAGTTTTTGCACCCGCGTACTTTATACTCAATGAAATTTTCTAATCGAAATTGAATATTCATCCAGACGATACGAGATATTTGTTTTCAGTTACGATGGGCTCTACCGTGTAGAAAAAGGAAAACTTGAAGTACGTGAATTTCGTTAATAAATTTTCTCTTGATTTGTATATGATGTTCATTAGCATGTTAATATTACCCCACACTCTCAAGAATCTTTTGTTCTTTTTAATGATGTAATGTTTTTCTTCAAATTTAAAACTTCTATTTATTTAGTATAAAATCATTACATGAAATAATTGAACAACAATCTGAACAATTGAAATCTCTTAACGAAAAATATGTTGCTATTACAGCATCTCAACTTGAATTTGATAGACAAAGGTAATTATTTCATCAATAGATTATTTTAATTAATTATTTAAATATTATAGAAAAGAAACTGAAGAACGAATGATTAATTATGAAAATCAAATACAAAATCTTATTCATGAACGTACAAATCTTTTAGAAGAAATTAAAAAAATTACTTCATCACCAGTTCCTACAATCGACAATGAGAAACAAACAACTGATAAATTACTTAAAATTAATAATAAACTCAAACGTGTATTACAAATATTTAAAGATAAAATTCATCGACTAGTAATTGAAAAACCTGATCTATTTATTAATATTGGTGAAGAAACAAGTGAACGTCTTGATCATTTAATTGCAACAGTAGAAAATCAAGCAACACAGAATGAAAAATTACAAGCTGAACGTAATGAAATTGAAGAACGATTTCTACATGATATAAATGAATTACAAAAGTAATTATTTCAACAAAAAAAAACATTCTTTTATTTTTTTTCTTATCCTTTTTTAAGTTCATTCGATATTTATCGACAACAAATCGATAATGAGTATCATATGAAATTAAATGAATATATTTCATCTTCATCACTAAAAACTCAACCAATTGAAACTGAATTAATCGAACATCGAAAAGAAATTCAACCATTACAAACATCAAATGATTGGTTTATGGATTCACCTTCAATCATTGATACTGAAAAACAACATCGAGAAATTCAACATGTTGAGATTCAATGTGAATTACTTGTCGATAATGATCAATCTATAAATAAAACATCTGATTCAATAGATCATCAACAACAACCTACTGTTACAAATCGTTTATTGGGCTTTTTTAAAAATGTAACATCACCATGGTCTGAACAAACAACAAATGATTGGGATGAACAAAATTCACCTATACAATTTCCATCTGAAGAACCATTGAGTACTTCATCAAATAATAATTTACTAGAAATTATTAAAACTAAACTTGAAGAAATTATTTCGGAATATCCAGATCTTTTTTCCAATACAAATGGTGATATAATTGAAATATTTGATCAAGTTATTTCGATTATTAGAAATCTTCAAAATCAAATAAAAGATTTACAAAGGTAAGATGAATTCAAGAAAAAAAATTATATAGAATTTATTACTATTATGTATTACTTAATAAACAAATTGATAAGAATAGAAAAAAAATTCAATATGATTAATGTTGCTAGTTCATTCAATACTTGTTGATTTTGTCTTTGATGTAGTGTTGCAATGCCATATGAGACTTGATTCTCTTCCGGAGTAGAATCCAGTTATTTGATTGTGATCAGTAGAGCCCGTTGGGTAGAGTCGACCGGATCATAATAGTGCTTCATTGTAAAACACATCAAATATTTCTTTTTTTGTACTGTAATACTCTCTTATCTTTACGTTATAAAACTTTGAAAGAAAGACTAATTGCGAACTTCAAATAACATCTCTAACTAATGTATTTTTGCATTAAACATTCTTCTCTTTTTCATACAAAAAAAAGAATCAAGTGTGTATGATATTACATTGCAAAACTATATCAAAAATAAAAATAATTTACAAAACTTTAATCTCAATGTGTTTATTTTATTAAATAGTTTATCAATTGTTGAGAAATATCAAAAAGAAATTGATGAATTAAAAGAAAATCTTCATGAAAATAACATAATTTATCAACGAGAACTTCAATGTTTACTTAACGAAAGAGATCAAGCTAGAGAACAATTACAAGAAAAAGAAAATTATTCATTAAAATCATACAATAGTACTGAATCACAAACTTCTTTTGATATCGATTGGTATTATTATTAAAATTAAAAAGATTTTGTTTTTGTTTTTATTTTTATTTTATTTTATTAATTCTAGTAATCTTACTGAGACTCGATTAAGTGAATGTCAATCTCAATTAGATGTTTTACTTCGTGAACGTATTTCTTTAATGGAACAAATTAAACAATTAGCTCATCAACCAATAAAACGACATATTGAAATTCAAACTGAAAATGATAATGAATTGTAAGTATCATTTAAAAAGAACTATTTTCTTAATTTATTATTATTATTTTTTTTTTTTAATCATTACAAAGATCAACACGTCCTGAACAACGTATATCACGTCGTGTATTTGAACAAGAAATATTAGCATGGTCAAAAGAAAGTGAACAATTAAAACAATATGTTAAACAAATTCAAATTGAAAATAAAAAACTTACAGATATTATACTTAAATTAGAATCTATAGTACATGATTATATGCATGAAAATGATCGACTTAGACAAGAAAATCAACATCTTTCATTTTTACAAATAAATGATAATCAAGAATATTTTACATCATCATCATCTGATACAGATATTTGTTATTTAACATTAAAATGGTTAACATATGAAGTAGCACAACGAACATCAAATACAAATGAACAATCATTATTAATTACGGATAATAATGAACCATATCTTAAACAACGATTATATGATACTGAACGACAAGTAAGAAGATTTTTTTTTTCTTATTTTAATAAGATATATATTGAATTTTTTGGTATTTAGCTTAAAAGTATTCGTATACAAAATCAACGATTAAAAAAACAACTTGAAACATATACAATACAATTTAAACATATTCAACATGAAATGAATAGTAAAATTCAAGAATTATCTACACTTAAAATTGAAATAGATAAGTAAGAAAAATATTTTGTTTTTTCTCAATAATTTATCTTAATCTTAAAAGTACTTATATGAATGTGATACTTAATACTATATGAATTAGAGCTCTGCATTGGACTTCGACGGAGTTTTATCAGTAAAGAGAATCAAATGTTTTTTTTTGCTCTTACATAGTAACAACTTTATTCTTCGTATATTAAGTAATGAGCTAAAGGATCCATAAATAAGCTTCACGAAAAAAAAAAATCAGTGAGACAGTCTCATTAACATGTAGCATAAAAAGAAGTAAATATGCTAGTCAAAAAATTGATCTTTGCAGAACTCCAATGAAAATTTTATGTACAAGAAAAACAAAGTCTCTGATGATAACAACTTTTGTTCAGTACATACATTTAAAAACATCTCGTATTAAACAAAAAGAATTATTATAGCATTTTCTTGAATATCTAGGTAAGCAAGAGAGACCCAAATAGGTTACTAAAATTCCTTGCCTATGACAGACACAGGCTACGATTTTTCTTCTTTGATATCAAAGTTCTACTAGCAAATAAATGCAGTGAAGTTAATGTGAAGGGTGATTATCAATATTATGATATTGGCATGAAAAAAATAGACAAGTCGTTACAGGTAGTCCAAGCCAATGAAATGAAATAACTGGCACAGGTAGGATACGAACAATGTAGGCTTGCAAAAAGTCAGCATGCTTAGACCTATGATAGGAAACACACATATGCGTGATAATTCTTGTAGATCTAGCATTCTTTCCATTCTTGTTTAATCGAAAGTATTGTTTCGATTAGAGATGGAATTGATCGGTCTGAAATTCATGCCAACCCTGGACTAACAAGTTGTCGTACTATTCCATCTGTGGACAATGATATTCGACATAGACAACTTTTAACAAAGTTTCATGACACATCATCTATGAGATACTTACGAGCGAAGGTTCCCAAGTGATAAATCGCTTTTAAGCTAGAACTATATTCAATCAATAGAGCCTAGGGAGTAGATAAATACTATAGAGTGGTTCGAGTTGCTGAGATTTTTGAATTTGTAGTGGACTTGTCCTGTATAGTTATAGTTTTCAAGCGAAATTATACTTTTGAATTTTCACTTGAAACTTTGCTCACTTAAAGACACTGATTAGACTAGCTTGTAGAAAAAATCTTAGAATTTTTTGTTTATCAGTGTCTTTAAGTCGACAAAGTTTCAGGTCGAAATTCAAAAGTATGATTTCACTTGAAAACTAGGACCCTACAGAAAAAAAATCTACTAAATATTTGAGATCCCAGCAACTCGAAAGTGATTTATCACTTGGAAACTGTTCTTTGTAAGAGCAAAAAAGAATTAGTAAGACGCATCAGTAACCAATACCAGTTGCATCTGTGGTTTCTATGAAAGTTTCTCATAATGTTTAATCATATTACAGTAATACGAGAGTAAATTAAGCTTTAAAAAAATGGTCAATTTTTAAATAATATTAAAATAAATTTTTTTGTTTTGTATTAAGATTACGTACAAGTGAAACTCAATATCGTTTGGAAGTTGATTGTCTTAAAGCAGATCTTCAATGTAATCAAGTAAAATTTCAACAATTGGAACGTGAAATATCTGATTTAAAACTTGAACAAATGAATACTGATAGTAATTCAACTAATGTATAAATTTATTAAATCTTATTGTTTTTTTTCTAAAACTAATATTTTTTTTCTTTTTGTTATAGAATCTTCGTGAATTACTTGAATTAAAAGAACGTGAATTAAAAGCATTAAAAGAAAAATTAGATTATACAATTCAAGCACATCAACTTGAATTACAAGAAGCAATTAAATCCAATCAGGTAGGCACTATCAACAGTTGCAATGACCATGTTTCTTCTTCTTCTTCTTCATTCTACTAACACACAAACGATTTCGTGCTTTATATGGGATGCTTATGAATATTGTTGCACGTACGCTGCTTGTTTTTTTTCCATTCATTAAACAATAGACAAACTGATTTCTTTGGTTTATGTAAACGTTTACTTAGTTTTGATTGTTCTTTTTTGTTTTTATTTTTTCATTTCTATCAATCATTATTGAAAAAAAAAAAGATTATTCACTGTTTTTTTTTTCGTTGCAATTAGTTCATTTCATTCGGTGATATATATATATACATATGTTTCTTTCTTGTGTGCTCGTTTTATCATGTTTGATTTAAGTAAACAAAAAATCTAAGATATAATAAAGATTGATATATTTGTTTTATGCACATTTGCACGTTTTGCATCTCTTATTTTTTTTTAATAGCTTTTTACTAGATTGATGTGAAATTTTTTTCTTTTCTTCTTAATATTATTTTTTGTCTTGTTTTTTCTAGTTTTCACTTGATAATGTTCAACGTTTTGAACAATTAGATCAACGTCATCAAGAAAAACGAAAAGAATTAGAAATACGACTTGGAAAATTTTGTAAAGCTATTAAACCATTAATTGATAATCAACATTTATTTACAGATGTAATAAATTTCTATCTTTTATTGTTTCTTTTTGAAAAAAAAAAGATGAATTTTTTTATTCATAGAATTCAATAATTGATATTGATGAGTTACAAGGATTGATTGCAGAAACTGAAGCTGAAGAAAGAGTTACATCGTAAGTAGACATTTTATTATAAATGAAAAATAATGAAGTTCATTATTTGATTTGAAAATAGTCGTAAGCTTTTACGAGTAATTACTTATCAATTAGTTTTATTTAAAGCTTTAAAAAAGTACGTCGATTGAAAATTGATCATAGATTTTCTATACCAAAATGCTACCAAGTGTTTGCTTTCGAATAATAAAAACCTTCAAATTATGATTAACTTCAATGTTTTTTTTTTTGATAGTAAAGTCAAGAAAATATAAATCTGAAACATGTTTAATAGGATGAGAAAAGAGAAATTCAAATTTGTGTTACAAGTATAATGATATCTGAGATATAGAAACTATGGATAGACATATTAATGTCAAGAAAAACCTTTATATGGGTGAAAACGAGACATGACAATCGTCTATTTGACTTTGATTCTTTATATGGGTTACTTTTTTTTAGCAAGTTCTCTTTCCTATGAATATATGTAAAAGTATTGGCTCTTTCAGCTCACACCTAATTTAGGTTAATTAGCTAATTCATTAAAATGTAGGTATCAAATAACCGTCTAATCTTATGATGAACAAGTCCAGAAACTTTAGAAAAGACTCCATATAATAAACTATATGCATAGTGAAATTTTCAGCAAGATCCGAGTCTGAGAAATTGTTTCCTAAAAATGGTTTTTCAGAAGTCTGTTCATGTCTTAGAATGAAGTTTTTTATATGACTATCATCTCGAGATCGCCAAATTGGTTTTTTGAATTTCTCGTTCAAGTACAAGAGAATTTTTCGTTTATGCATTTTTGAAAAAATTTAAACATGTTCCAGAAATCTTTTGTATAAAGATTTTATAGCCTGAAGAGCCCTCAACAAAACGCATGCAGTGGGAATTTTCATCTCACGTCGCTAACGCTAGTTTTTCAATAATAATTTGACAAAGCAAAGGCGTCTATAGGACTGAATTTTTCAGGATGTATAGAGTAACTCAACATATATCTGTTATATAAAAATTAGCTAAAAGAATTTTAACAGTCCAGAGATATAAGAAGTTTTATTTTATGAAATCATGTAGCTAACGAATGAAATTATTGATATACTATAAGAATCTTTGGTTTTTTTTTAATAGTTCACTTGGTCCCATTCGTGATTGTTTGGGTCTTTTGGAAAGTCAAATGAAAGAATTACATCATAATCTTATTGAAAATCATGCTCGTCGTTCCAAACGGTGGAAATATAAATTAGGATTTGAATGTTTATCATGTGACAGTCAATGGTAATAATTTATATTCGAAATTCAAACTTAAAATTTTTTAATTCAATATATTTAGGGAAGTAACTCATGATATTCAAAATTTACAAGAAGCATGTCAAGATCCTAATATGTTTCTTGAATCATCACGTGTTGAACCAATGATGGGATGTTCATGTCCAATAATCGATGATTTTATTGAAAATGATGTTCGTTTATGTATAGATGATTTATTAGATGAAGTTATTGTAAGAACAATAGTGAAATAAACATTTTGTTCTTGCCTATATTTTTTCTTGTGTTTTCATGAGATCGGAGTATTTTTTTTGTTTGTTAAAGGTTTTGTTAGTCGTTATTTAAACTACACGTCTTATTTATTTATTTTGTTGACTTCAAATGAAAAACAAATGTGTGTGGTTATTATATTGAGAAAAGAAAAATTTGTTGCTTTTTTTTTGTTTTTTTCATTTGGAACTATCGTTTATCATTACATTTAAATGATTATATTTATATGAGTTTGATTAACAAATATAAAATATTCTCGCATAATACATTTGTGAGTATATTAACGTTAACCGGTTTAATTAACTCTTTTGTACAAATATTAATTACAGTAAAACGTGAATACGATGAAGATTGTTAGAAAATGTTCACTATGTGAAGGTAGCCAGTGTAAAGAGTTGATGCATAATTTGCTGTGAAATGAAGAAAAGCGTCTATATATTAGTCTTACGCAAGAAACCATCCGACTGATAATCTCCGTTTGAGCTCACAGGCAGGACTCATAGTGTAGATAAAAATCACGAGAAAAATCGCAGCAAAAAGTTTCGTTCTGCAATTCTCCCTAACAATGGCTGTCATGATCTTTATGATATTCTGAAAGTTTCAGCTCAAACGGATGATTTCACCCGTAGGTATCGTCCATGTAAAAACTGGGCTATTTTTTGAAGCTCTTGTGTGAAAGTAATGTTTGTTTTTGCAAACATGTTGTCTCAGAAAGGCAACATCTATTCGAGCTGAAATTTTCCGGATATCATTAGGGCATGAGAGCTATTGTAGGGGAGGATTGCTGGTCGAAATTCCTCGTTGCATTTTTTTTTCGTGATATCCTAAAAGTTCAATACAAATGATCATAACTTGAGAAGAAAGGCCTATTAGCACGAACATATGAGCTTGAATAGAGATTATCAGTCGGATGGATTCTCTCGTTAGATAAAAGCCTAGTGATTTATTCTCTTATTCATCTATTTTCATTCAATGATTTTCATTGTACGGTTTTACAATTATAATACAAGATATGTTGTTTTTTTTGTCTTTTTGTTTCTGAATTAATATTGATATCAATCAATTTTGATTCTAATTCAATAATTAATTTCATTGTTTACTTGTAAATAAAACTCATATTGTAATATCATTATTTTTTTTCATACGACACAATAGTGGACTAAAAGATAAAGTCTATTTAGCCGTAGTATACACGATATAAGTGATAAACAGTAAAATGAGGTCGAAAAAACAATTGTGCATATATTTACATTAGAGAGCCTATAATAACAAGAGAAATCGCAAAAAAGACATGTTCTTTGTTCAGAATATTCACCAGTACAAGTTTTACTGTACATTCATCATGTTATCTTCATATCACATTTATCATTACAGTATCAGTATAAAAGCTTTTTTACTGATCATTCAATGAACATCACAAAACACACATTTTTTTTTAATTTTGATTAAAAAAATCTCAAAAACATTGAGAAAAAATGTTCATTTTTTGAAATTTAATGAAGATCTAACATCAATCACAAATATTTGTATCGCATATGGAATTATCAAATATTGTTTATATGATGTCTGAAAATAATCATGACCAAGTTTTTTTTTCTTGCAGTTTATTGTTATTTATTTAATTTATAGAATTTTGAAAAATAATTGAAAATGATTATGATCAAATATTTATAATTGATCAATATGTTAATAATTATTCAATGAAAATTAAATATGCTTTTTCTCAATATTATACTTAAATCCTATGCGATGCTATTTATTCCTAATAACCTTCAAAGGAAGGGGAAAAAATTGTACCTTGAAATTTACATTTATTCTTTTATGGATTTATAAAAATTTGATTGACTTCGCTTTGTTGTTTAACTGTAGTTATAAACTTTAAAAAAAAATGTCTCGTAAATAAAATTAGAACTGTTTTTCAAAACGCATATAAAATCTTATTTTATTTAAACAAAAATAGATTTGATGTTCTTATTCTTTTTTTTTAATTTGCTGCTTTGGTAATTCCAAAAACTGGACGAAATTTTGCTGATAGTTTTATTTTTTTGATTTCATTTCAATATATAGAATGCTTGGAGAGTCACTTACTACAAAGAAAATAATATATTTTCATGGGAGTTAAAGCAAAGATACAGAAGGTTTTCAAGTTTGTACTCATAAATACTATTTGAAAATTTGAACTTTTTGATTCATTACATAAAAAAAACAATTCTGTTTCTTCGAAGTTTCAAAAAACAATAGACAGGGCTTCCTGCTTCATTACTTTGATTGTTTTCATGATTTTAAACTTTTCATCATCCAGGTCTCTTTCTTGTATTTTACAAACATCTGCTTGACATTTTTTTGAAAAAATTAGTGACATCGATCTTAAAGTTTAGTAACTGTGAAAATCATAAAATCGTGTCAGTTTTCTCACTTTAGTTCTCGTCAGAGTTTTTCATGAGTAATGAATGAATTACCTTGAAGTTCACAATAATGAAACAGGAGATTTTGTCTCTTGTTTTTCGAAACTCGCAAAAAAAAAATAACTTTTTATCAATTGAATAATTTTCTTATTAAGTAGATGACTGTTCGCACAACTTAAATATATTAGAAATAAATTCGATTGGTAATAAATTTATACAGTCTTATATACAAACAAAGATTCTTATTAGTTTCATTCGTAAAATAAAAAAAAACAATTATTAACAATCGAAAAAAGAAAGAAACAAGATGGAAAGCACCGTATTCAATGGCAAGAAGAGAATTAAATGTAAACGGGGAAAAAAAAAAGACAAGAAATTTTCAGAAGAGAAAAAACAAGGATTTTGAAATTTAAGTTTGCATTAATTTTTCTCCACTTGTTCCTGTTGTTGTTGAATGTTGAGTTTTACTAGCTGGTATATGATTTGATGTTCCAGATGTTTTAACAAACATTTGTCTTGTTGTATCTGTTGATGTTAAATTTCCATGTGAATGATAATTAATTACATTTTGTTTATTATTTATATTTGATGTTGATGGATAAAATCTTAATGGTGGAGATTGTTGTTGAACATCAAGTGCTGTTGTAACACCATTACTTTTCGATGATTTACTACTACATGAACTAACACGTGAATGTAATGCAGAATTTTTTAAAAATAAACCAATTGCTTTTACTGTTACTGATGGAGCTAAAAATGAATAAATAAAAAGATATATATAATATATATGTGTATATCGAAAACAAATATAAAATTATTTCTATTTACGAAACCATAAAAAACGACTGAAAGAAGTTTATTATTATTATTATTATTACGAATTTTTTTTTCTCTTACTCATCAATTTCATTTCGAAAAAAACTTCAAAGGTTTTTCTTTTTCTCATATAAAATATATTGCAAAGTTGACGAGTAAAGAACTGAATAAAAACATTGAAATATACACTTTTTTACATAATAAGAAAGATCTATACAAAAATTCAAATGATAGAAAAAAAAAGAACTTTTTTTTTACCAGGATTATATCGCACCGGCGAATGATGATGAGATTTTTTTAAATTTTCAACATGTATTGTACGACTCTGTGTTTTTGGTGTACGACTATCACCTGTCGTACTTGCTAATATATCATGTGGTGAATGAAAACCATTTTGATTTGCATGATCAAGTGTTGAACTAGGTAAACTACGTGGTTTAGGTTTTTGTTGTGGAATTATAACATTTCCACGTTGAGTAGTAATTGAAGGTTTTATTGGTGCAAGACTATTAGGATTTGTTATTCGTCTTGTACTAATATGTTCATCAGTTGGATCAACACTATTTGTAACAGCTGATGATTTTCTTACCACTACATCATGAAATAATTTTCTTGAAATTAATTTTGATTGTGGTACTAATTCATTTAATGCTTCTTGTGTTAAACCATTTGTAATACTACTACCATGTGTATTTGTTCGTAATAAAACTTGTTCATCAAGTGCAAAATTTGATTTTTCACGTGGAAATTTTTGTCCATTAGTTGTTGGTGGAGATGTTTGTTGAGATGAAAGATGTGGTAATATACGACGACCAGGAAGTAATGGTTCATGACGAACAAGTTTGTCAAGTATATTCTCTGATAGACCATCAGCTAAAGCAATAGTACCTGCTGTTGATAGTGATGAATGAGTATTAACAGAATTATTATATGTACGATCTGGCCAACCTAAACCTTCTTTAAGACGTCGTTCAATTAAACTATATAGTGCTCGACATGCAATCGGTTTTCGATGTAATACAGCTTCTTCAACTTCATGTTCTGAATATCCATATCTAATATAAATAAAAATATTATTTGATATTTTAATTCTTATTTATATAAATTTACTTTATTGCAAGATATCTGATTATATTTTGATTGATTTCTCTTAAATCAACATGAGGTTTAAAAGGTATTAATTCAATAGGTCCTAAAATATCGGTTAAAAATGGATGACAAAGAATTTCTGATATAGTTATTCGTTTAGTTGGTGATGGTTCTAATAATCGTGATAATAAATCTTGACAATCTGAATAAGAAAAAATTTTCAATGAAAAAAACAACAACAAATTTTAATTATTACCACGTGAAAGTGTATTAGGTATTTCACATCCTTTAAGTATACATGCATGAAGTTTAGCAAGATTTCGACTACGATGTTCAACTTTAAATGGAAGTTTACCCATTAACATAGCATACATATTTACACCAATACTCCATATATCAACAGCTGTACTATATTCTTGATGAGCAAAAATTTCTGGAGCTGCATAACTGTTTAAATATTAAAATAGAACTTTTGTGTTTTTTTTTCTTTTATAAATCTTACGCTGGTGAACCACATTGAGTAGTTAAAAAATTTTTTTCGTCAAGACAATTACTAAGACCAAAATCTATATAAAAAAAAAGAAATGATTTTTATTATTTAAAAACTGTAAAAAATGAGTTATTCTTTACCAATAATAACTATATCACCATTTTGATCAAGCATAAAATTTTGAAGTTTTATATCTCGATGTATAACACGTGCACGATGCATATGTTCAACAGCTGAAACAATTTGTCGAATATATTTTCTCGTTTCATTCTCATCTAATTGTTTCCTAAGAAACGACACTTATTTTTTTTTTTGTAAAAATGAAATACTTCAGGCATTTGTGGTGCTTTTTTCATCTTACTTTTTTGTTAAATATTTTACAAATTCATTTCCTTGTACTAAGTCCATAACAATATAATAAGAATTTTCTGTTTCCATAACTTCATGTAATTGTATTATATGTTTATGAGACATACGTTGCATCATTGATGCTTCACGACGTAAATTAGCTCTTAAATAATTTCGTTTAAATACTTCACGTTTATTAATAACTTTAACTGCAACCTAATAGAAGAAAAAAAAACCAAAATCAAACAGATCATAGTTTAAAATATTAGAAAACAACATGTTCTTTTTTTTTGTTTTAATTCCATTGAAAAAACGTAAGAAATAAAAAAATCGCTACGCAATTCAGTTCCATATGAAGAAAAAAAAAAAGAAAAGAAATCGTTTTTTCTTTTTATAATTTGATCTATATCAATTACACTTACTTTCATTTCTGTGATTAGATGAACACCCAAACGTACTTTGGCAAAGCTACCTTCTCCAATTGTTTTTAAAATAATATAATTTCCTACTTTTTTTCGTTTTTCATCTGATGATGTATCAGCTGTATCAACTGTTGATGCTCTATCAGGCGTTGCAGCATTATTTGAACCTTGTACCATATTTATAAGATAAGAAAAAATTGAATGATATGTAAATATAATCCAATGTCAAAATAAGGCCTAAAATGGAACACAATCAATTAATTTATTTATAATTTAATATTGTAAACTAGCGGAAAATAATATTGAACAAAATATATATGACTCAAAAAAAGGAAATGAATGCGTACAGGTGCAAAAAGGACAAGAGTTTCTCTGAAAGTGACGATCTTAATCGTTTTTTATTTGGAAAGTTTGTATAACTATCATATATAAAGATACACATTGGCAGCAAAACTTTTTTTTTTTTAGAGAGACGAATACTGAAAGAAATATTTATAGCTATTGAAAGTGCGTTATTGACAATTGAAAAATTTTATGCTTATTTTTTTATGTACACAAAAAAATAGATGGTATGAATGGACAAATTGAAATTTAGAAAAAAAAAATCTATCAATGAATTTCTTTTATTATGTTATAATTCTTCTTTACTATGAAAAGTACAGAAATATAAAATATTCCTATATAATTAGCTTCAGTTAGTTTTTTTTTTCCCGTTCTCTAGAGGTATCATTAATCATGTACCTGCCTTTTGTTTTATCCTTCACATACAATATCTGTAGTATTAATGATGACAATCATCGATGGCAAAGATGATGAAGATATATATAAGAAGTAATGAAGATTGTTTCATATTATTATGATTATTATTATTATTAATGAAAGACTTTTGCGTGTCTATATGAGACGTATGTGTGTGTATGTATATACGTTTGAAATCACTGGGAGAGAAAGAGAGAATAGAGCAAAAAAAAAACGACGATGTCGGCAGTAAGTTGGATGACTTCTTGCATGCTGAAATTTTTCGTCATCATACAAGTACAATAGAAAGGCAGAAGAAAAAAAAAGAGGACGAACAATCAACAAATCCGTGCAGTATTGATTACACTGTCCTCTTTTTCACTCATTCTCATAATGCTCATAGTTGAGCTTCCTGATGCTTTTTTTTTCATGATCCATTGAATCTTTATTGTACAGAATAAACAAAGCTTGAATTGTACAACAGATGACGATAGAATAACAAAAAAAAAAAAAAGAAATGAAGAAATCAAACGTCTATTTGAATCCTCCTAGTTTTAATATTCAATTGACAACAAAAGAAAAAAAATATCGTACGAGAGAAAATTCAGAATAATCTATCTATATAATAGAATTAAATCGAAAAATAAAAACTCTTCGATTAGTATCACTATCCTTCAATGCTTATATTCTGATAAAAATAAAAATTTTAAACGTACAAATAAATAATCACCTGTTTTTCGATGTCGTTTTTTTTGCACTACAAACTTTTGAAAAACATATTTAAGAATTTTAAAATTTTACTTTTCTTTTTAAAATAACTTATTGAAAGTTACTCGTATAACTAAAGCCAACTTTACATGGAAACAAACACACCTACAGTGTTTTGCTTTTGCAAGCCACTACCGTTTGTTTATTTGGCACTTGTCTTCAGTCGTTATATTAAGCTTAAAAAATAATAACTTCTTTCGTTATTTTCATTGCTTTTCTTTTACTTCGCTCATACGCACACACATTCCCTCTTTCTCTGTTTAATGTTATTCTTTATTCTCAGCAAAAAAAAAAAAAAAATGAAAAAGATCAGTGTGAATTTGTAAGTTCCGATAAAAACAATTCTCGTACACTTGTCGGTAGTTTAAGAAACAAATTTAGGTTCAATATAACATTAATGTATACATTAAAATATAGTTCATTGATTCTTACCATTCTCATAATATGAACATATCTACAACGTATGCACAAGTAAATGCGACTAAATTGTTCATAGATTAGACAAACAAAAGTCAGTTCATTTATTTACTCCTACGCTTACCTATTTTTATAAAGTAAGAGAGAGAGAGAGAGAAAAAAAACCAAAAGAGAAAATGACGCAGTGAAATGAATAAACAAACAAATCGAATATGATCGAACGAATAAGCATGTGTGTAACATTGTACAGAACACTTTAACCACTAGTACTCAAGAAGTAATCTCCCTCGCATCAAACTATTGTATACACAACATAATCACTCTTTCGATATTTTCTCTTGCTCTATCGTCGTTATGATCGGTAATTGATCAATAAGAATGTACATATGTATGAACAGACTAAATAAATAGATTAACTATTGACGAAAAATTTGTTAATTTTAATGAATGTCATTTATATATGGATGTCAAATATGTTACATTTGATTATTATAGTTATATAAAAAAAAGAATTTGTGATAGAAATATTGATTATCATTTGAAATAGATATAAAAAACAAGAAATGTAAATCATTCTGATTGATTCTATTTGTTTTAATCAATCGATTTTTTTTTATCTTACTGATAAGATTTATCTATACTTCGTATCCCATATACTACTGTCGAAAAATAAATTTTTTTACTTACGATTAAAAAAAAACGACGTGAAAACAGTAGATTTATAACGGTAAAAGAACAAAAAAAAAAATAAACATTTTACTGAGAAATTTTCTTCTATTATATAGTGTGTCTACTAAATCTTATGTGGTTTCTTTCCAATCACTCGACAAATTCAATAGTCATCTGTTTTCGATTTGGTCTTTGCTTCGATTTTTTTTTATTGCTTTTCTAATCGTTTAATACGACTAGTAATAATCATTTTGGAATGGCTATTTGTACTTTTTCAAGTACGGACGACTATATGAACTATATGATTAAAATTAACTTATTAATAAATCAAGACAATACGAAAATCAAAATTTATAATCACATATGTTGAATATTCCATTGTTATATTTGGTTTCAAATTCATTTAGATTCTCTGAGTCTTTATTTTCAACTTTCTAACAAACAGATACTCATTACTTCTACTGTATTTTGAATGAAATGCTAAATCTGTCCATAATCTTATCTAATTTAATCGCTGTATCATAACAACGAGGCCTTTGATAAACATTATAGTATTTGCTGTTTTCATTATATTAGTCATCATGATTATTGTAAATATTTCGACATAAAAACTTTAAAAAAGAAATTCAAATGCATCCAGGACACTGTTGTTTCAATAATCTATTCAACGGAGTCATTTCCCCTTCTCTTGTTGAATCTCGTAACAAATCAAATATATAATAAACTATGACATTTCATCGGAATCACATCAAATCCAATGAGAATCATTCGTATTCAAAATGTTAACACAAATGCTAATTGATGTATTAATGTTTATTATTAATGTCAATTGAACTAACACCAACAGCTGATCTATTTAATATTAATTAAATAGAGAAAAGTATATTTTGATCAGCAAATTTTTTTGCTGCAGAATGATCACTGAAAAATAAGTGCTTTGATTATCAAATTAATCAAGACCGCACAAAATAGTCCCAACATCAAACTCAATTTTTCTAATCTCATTTAATCGAAATGAGTTCATTAGCTTAAAGTGGTCAAGATGAACTTCAATAGTACCATAAGACATAACACAAATGGGAAAATGCGTTTTGATCATTAACATTGTCTAATTGTAAGATGATCATCAAAGTCATGGTTGTGAGTGTAGGTGAGGATGTAGGTTTCAGTAACGATCTGTATAGATCAGGATGGATGTGGGTGAAGAGAAGATCTCAGCATCATCCGCACTCACACTCATTTTCATCTGTAAGAAATTTGGTCATCAAAACACTCATTTTTTGGTGATCATTTCCTCAAATAACATCATAATAATAAAATTTCGATAACACCTATTTTTCTATCGTATGTGATGGTTATATCAGTGCCTATTTAAAAGTCAGACTGAATATTTTTTGAATGATTTATGATAGAAATGAGATAGAGAGCTATGGCTTCCGTCGTTCGAAAGAGGAGACAAGGATACATCAAGTCGTGAATTATACGATTTTTTTTTTGACATGATTGTTTTAAAGGTTTTCAATCGATCTCTTTGAAAACAAATCTACCCTATGACGTGTTCACAGCAAATTTTCAATTGTTACATGTATTTTCAAATCGTCAATGGAAGACCTACAAATGATTTTTCTAGCTATTTCTTTTTTGATAAAAAAACAATTTTTTTCATACTTAGAAAATTGATTAAACAAACTTTAAACCATATATTAGGAAAACATATAATATATAATTCGATGCATCTTTGTCTCTTCTTTCGAACGATGAAAGTCACAGCTCTCTATCTCTTTTCTATCACAAGTTATTCAAAAAATATTCATTCTATCTTCTAAATAGACATTAGTATAACCATCACATACGATAGAAAAATGCATATTATCGAAATTTTATTATTATGATATTACTTGACAAATGATGTAATAGCACAGAAAAATAGAGCATTGTTTTTACTATCCGTCCATCTAGAGTAAAAATTTCTTTAAGCTTTTTATAAGAAATTCAAATACCTCCATCACTACTTTTGGATAGCTCTAAGTAGTTAATGGGTATCAGAAACTAGGAGAATCTTATGGTATGCGAAGATAATTCAACTTACGAGGAAACATTCCCAGGTGTCAGAATGCTTTTCAGTCGGGATTTCGCGCATCTTGTAGCCCTTAGTGAGCTGTGTCTATGATAAAAAAAAGTTTGGATTTCTGGCTTGTCTCTGAGGAGATGGAACATTTTTACCATTACGACTATAACATCAAATATACATTATATAGACTGTTGGCACAATCTGTACGATATTAAATTGTAAAAACCAATATATGAAAAATCAACGATTTAGAATTTGTTTATGTTTAACCCTTTAAGTACTATGACTCTGCCTCTGAAAGAGATTTCTGTAAGTTGTCATATTTAAGATACTCATGGTGCAGTATTTATATTTTCGTCAAAACTTTTAAAAAACCTTTGAAGTCATTTTCGGCCTATCCCTGTACTCTCCACAAGGATGGCGAAGAAGTATATTGTCCATCTCTGTGGGGAAATACGAATCTGGCTCAAAATTCAATTAAGAGCTATCGTAAAATCAACCTTTGGAATATCACTATGAGTCACTCTTAACTTGATTTCGACACGGAAAATCAAAATATTTTGGGAACCGTAAAAGAGTATTATCCGCCTTCCTCCTTCTTAAAATACGTTGTTGTTCCAGAAATCCGTCAGCCTTACTACCTAAATGAGTTCATTAGGGTTATAATTCTTATACAGATGTATGCATTGAAGTCTCTATTATGTTATAGAAAGAACCGCATCTCGATATGCTTTTGTGTTTGCAAGTTATTCAAAAATTAAGACACTTAAAAAAAGTATTATTTATTTAGGACGCTGGTACTTAAAGGGTTAATAGTTATGAATTCTACGTGGATGTGTGTATCGAAAGGTCTTCTATCTCATAGGCAAAATCGCTCCTCGATATCGTTTCGCGTTCGAGAGTTATTCAAAATTTAAGAAATTTCAAAAAAAGTGTTCCTTATTCGGAACCTTGGTACTTAAAGGATTAAGGTACGAATTCTAATTGATAGTTTTAAATGAAATCGATAAAGAATGTTATTTAGCTTGACATGCTATAGATCGTGTTGTTTTTATAACAGAAGTCAATCTAATATATGTATTGCATTGTGATCGCGATAAATCTTAATAATCAAGTTGATATTAGTCTTACAACATCTGGAAGTAAGTATACCATAACAAAAAAATTATTAGATAAAACGAAAAATGGAGCTATATTATAAATTGAATTAAGTCTTTTTTATTCTGTATTGAATAATCTCTTGTTTTTTGCTAATAAAGGTTTTTGCGTCATCCATTATCAAGTATTTTACAAGTTGAACATGTTCAAATAAATGTTGATCGTGTTATGTGGACAAATATTAAACGTATTGTATTGATTATCACAAATTAATATATTTGTTTCTTTTTTTTTGTATTATCTCATTTTAATTTATTCTATTGTCCTTGTTTAGATACTAAAGACTAGAATCATCTAGTTCACCAGTAATTCGTTTTTTTTCTCTTTTGGTTGAGTATGAACCACTGTGGGATTTTTTTAAAGTGCCAACGGTTATTTTTTGAATAACTTTTCAACGGTTCAAATTATAGAGGTCAGATTTTCACCATGAAAAAGAGCAAGGCGGAGGATGTCGATCTGTATAAAATTCATTAGGTTTATGAGTCTTTTGTATAGTTGTTTGCAGTCAAATATCTTATCGGTTGTTTATTTTCATGAGTTTTTATGACAAGTTAACATGTAATTAGACCAAAATGTAGCCCAAATCATTCTGTATTTGTGCTAAAATTTTCAAATCTTTACGTCTTATGCTTGAGTTTATTTCCGTACGTTTTGATGTTAAAATGTGACAATTTTAGCGCAAATACAGAACGATTTGGGCTACATTTTGATCTAATTACATGTTAACTTGTCATAGAAACTTGTGAAAATAAACAACCGATAAGATATTTGACTGCAAATAACCATTTAAAAGACCCATAAGTCCAGTGAATTTTATACAGATCGACGTCCCCCGTCTTGCTCTCTCTAACGGTGGAAATTTAACCTCTATAACTTGAACCGTTGAAAAATTATTCAAAAAATAGTCGTTGGTACCTTAAAAAAGATTCGACATTAAGTATATGAAATAAATACTTAAAGAATTTTGGTTTGCCAGATGAGCTATTTTTTACCACTGTTTCTTGAATATATCCCGAAAACATCATGATATAGAGCTGGAAATGTTACTATAGTCTCTCCACTACAGCCTCAACATATCCTGAAAACGATACCGCTGGATTAGCTCGTAAATATGCCATTCCCTTAGAACTTACTTTCAATAGAATAGCAAGATAGTACATGAAACTCTGCGCATTTCTGTCTATTTAGTTTTTGCTTTGTTGAATGCAAAAAAAAAATTTTTGAAGACTAAATAGTTTTAGGAGGTCTATCAGTTCTGGGTATTTTCGATAATAACTATGATAACCATAATCATTTCTTTTGTAAACTCAATATGAAAACTAATAGTATAAATCGATGCTGTTTTTCATGATCTACAAAATGACATATGGATTAGTTTATACAGAATCAAACCGATACGATATCGTACTTATCTCACTCTAATTATACTAATTGATATGTCATTTTGTAGAGCATGAAAAACTACGTCGATCTGCACTATTAGTTTTCTTATTGAGTTTACAAAAGAAAAAATTATGGTTGCCATAGTTATTGTCGAAAACGTCCAAAATTGACAGACCGTCTAAGACTATTTAGTCCTCGAAAATTTCTTTTTACATTCAGCAAAAAACAAAAAATAAATAGACAGATATGTGCAGAGTTTCATGCTCGATCTTGGTATTCTATTGAAAGTAAGATCTAAGGAGCGTGACTTATTTACGATCTTCATCAGCGATGTCCTTTCATAAATTTTGAATGTACCTGGTCTAAGATCGATTTTTGAAGGTTGAGAAGAGAAGTCTTAGAACGAAATTGAATTGACCAATCATGAAGAACTTTCATTATTTCAAAGTCGAAGTACTGTAGAAAACAAATTCAATCAATGAATCAAATATACCTTTAACATTTCTCGATATTTAACCAATACAAATATTTTTATTTATTATAAAAAAAAGCAAGACAAAGTATTTTTTTTTCTTATCTACATCCACATTCTTGTACAATCATATCTCGATGATATTTAATAACAAGTTCATCTCGATCATAATAAAGTAAACATAATGGTTTTAATCGTACAGGTACACATAATGGTTGTTGTCCATATTCTTTTTGTGAATGTATAAGACTAAGTAAAATAGCATGATTTGACGGATAATATTGTGGTGATAATGGATTTGGACATGAACCTGAACATGTATATGCATTAAAACGTTTTGGTTGTAAGATCCATTGACCAAATGTAAATTGATTAAAATCAATTTCATATTCATGTTTAGCACATGTTAAACTTGGATTATTTGATAATATTGTACGTCGAAAACGTCGTTTGAAATTTTTCGTTGTTGAAAATGTAAATAAATTTTTATTTGATTTAGAATAATAAATAATTGATAAACTATGTTTTATAATTGGATATTCTAATAATAAATAAATATTACGTTGATAATAATTATTTAAAAATTTGGTAAGATCATATGACTGTATTGTATTTATTGATGTTGATATCATCTCTAAACGATATATTCGATGATGAATATTTTTTCCTAATCGAACATAAACATTTGATATATTACATCGTAATTCAATCAATGCTATTTGTTCATTAAGATTTCTTTTTAGTCGAATACTAAATAAAGTTCTATTATTTGGAACTAAAAACAAAACAAAAGAAAAAAAAAAAATTTTCCTTTTAAATAAAAATCTTTTGTAATAAACAAACTTTTATATGAAACCATTCGAACAGTATTGATATATTTCAATTTTAATTGTGTATCTAAATCAAATGATGTTGCTTTTAAAAGTGATCCCGATGTATTAATCTTATTATAAAAATCAATTATTGTTTCAGTTTGATCTTCTAAAGCTAAGATAGCATGAAGAACCATTCCTATAATAATTGTAATATGGAACATTGTTGTTTTTCTTTTTTTTTTAGACAATATGAGAAAAATATAGTCATTGCATTTGTTTATATACATTCGAGTAGGATTAAGTTTCTCATTGGACCACATCGGTGTCGAGAAAAAAGATAACAATATATACATACATTTACTCATCTTTTTTTTTTCGTATATCTTGTTCATGCACGCGTTTATTGATAACGAGAAAGGAAAAGAGACCACATCGATTTGAATATAAAGATAAGATGAGAATGTTGAAAAACAAGTTTATTAAAAATGACAAGAAAATTCTTTTTTCTTTCTCACTGTTCAATTTATCTATTGACTTTAAAGTATTCAATGAGATTGATTTTTCTAACCTGGAAATATAGACTAGAGTCTTTCGTATTGATAGAAAAATTCTAGAATGAGAAAAAGGCTTTTGACTGATTGGAGAATAAAATAAGAAATTTGAAAGAATAGACCCAAAATTATTGATTGGATGAATTATTTCTGTTCTCACTGAAAAAAAAAGAAACAAAATATTTATCTTTCATTTATTTTTTATAAGGCTTTGCCCATATCTAAATTTTCAACAGTACCTCATTTTTATACAATATTCTTAGAGAAAAATTTTTTCAAAAAAATTTTCCAGAAGGACTGAGCTTCTTCTAGCCCCAAAGCTTGACTTCACCACTGGAAATAATTCTCTACAAAACAGCAAAGTTTTTACAAACTGTTGGAGTGAGTGTATTAAATGCTTTTATAAAGTCTATCACAAGAAAAATGATTATTTTTCTGATTTTTGTCTTTTCAGCACAAAATGATCCACCATCACAACTCTGACATTAATATAATATGTACGATTCTCTTTTTTTCTGCCATAGGAACAAAGTTCATTCATGGAAAAGAAGTGTGAGGACAAGCCATACACTTCATATTTAAATAGAGCAATATTATATGTATATATATATTCTATTTTCTTCCTTTACTTCATGATTTATTTTCTGCGCATATGAAATTTCTGTTTCTTGCTCTACAATCAATGTCTAATAATTATTCATACAAAGTTCATTTTTAAGCAGTTTCAGTTCGAAGAAAATGATTTTGTCAATACGTATGACATCAACATCGTATAAAAACCAAAAAAGGAAACCAAAATCGTCAAATGTCGTAAAAATGAAAATGATGACATCATTTCTTACTTCATCAAAAAATTTTCGCATTGTCGCCAAAGCAGGATTGACTCATGTATCTATCAACAATGACTCATTTTCTTCTTCGATATACGATAACAAAAAAACTCATAATTTTATCATTTAACATTAAAAGTAAAAACTAAATAGATGGCTACTTCTTCTGAAGATTTATCTATACAATGTATGCATGGTAAAGCTGGTAATAGTAATTGGAAATTACCACGTCTTATAGCAACATGTGACAAAAAAGCACGACCAGATGTTTATGGTGAAATCGATGCTAGTGAATATTTAGATAATGATAATGTACTTGATGCCAAACTTGATATAGTTGTATCATTAATTCGACAAAGTCAACAATTTGTTGTTTATACTGGTGCTGGTATATCAACATCAGCTGGTATCGGTGATTATGCATCAAAAGCATCGAATTCTATAGTTATGCGTGAAACAAGTGTTAATCGTTTAAAAGCTATACCAACATTATCTCATCATGTACTTGTGGCACTTGAAAAGAAAAATCGTCTTAAACATTGGGTACAACAAAATCATGATGGTCTTGCACAACGTGCTGGATATCCACAAGAAAAATTAAATGAAATTCATGGTTCATGGTTTGATAAAAAGAATCCTGTTGTTTTAATGGATGATAACCTTAAATCTGATTTACATAAATGGTTAAAAGAATGGGCAGAAAAATCTGATCTCGTACTTGCTATGGGATCATCAATGTCTGGTATGGCAGCAGATGTGATAGCTTCAAGAGTAGCTGAAAGAGAAGGAACACTTGGTTTAATTATTATTAATTTACAAAAAACACCACATGATCATCTTGCAACAATAAGAATTTTTGCACCATGTGATAAAGCTATGTCTTTATTAGCGAGTAAAATGAAATTGAAAATTCCTAAAAATAAGTAAAAATAATATGCGAATATTATTTTATAGATTACTCGTTTGAAATTGATTAGAAAGGTTATGACACTTATTTTTTTTTCCAATTATTAGATTGATGTTTCGTTTTGGCATGGACAAGCATAAATGTCCAATAGTGTGATTTAAATAAACGAAAGTACTTTGATTATCTGTTTGTTATTAATAAATTAGAAGAAAAAATTCATGATTAGTGACAAACTAATTCTACAAATACTATTCACAGTTGTTTATAATTTCTTGTGTTTTAGTGATTTAAAATGACTCTATACCTGTTGATATTATTTGAAAAATATTTGTTAATCGTTAGCTTTGATAAAATTTATGAGTTCATTCCTATCTATACAGATGAACAAGGAAAAAATAAGCTAATCTAATAATTGAAAATCGATCTGTTTGTTAAATTTTAATCAGAAAATTATTAATTAGCAGTAGCAATGAACATATAATCTATTTATTGAAATATGAAGTCTATGTTTCGAGTCATTATTAAGATATTTTTGTTTGATTTCGTGTATATCTCTAAAATTAGATGCGTTTGAATAATCTGATTTTCGTCAGATTACAGTTCATAGTCTCTCGTATACTAGTAAAAAAAACTTCAAGTCAAGCAATTAATCCGTTTACTTTTTATTGACAATACAATTGCAGCATGCTGTTGTCAAAATTATTCAATTATTTTTGTTTGAAAACCATTGTACGCCAATCCTAGATTGAAATTTCCTTTATAATGCATAATTCAATAGGGGCAAATTATGCTCTATGTAAAGAGTACATTTTATCGTAGTTATCCTTTGAGTAAAGTTTAAAAACCAATGTTTGTTTTTTTTACCTATACCGGAAATTTTCAACAAAAAAAAGGCGACAAGAGACATTTTTTCATATGATGTTTGACCAGTTTTATTGTTCAGTATATCAATAGCAAGAGTACTACAGATTGCATAAGATATTCTATTTGAATAAATATTTCACATTGGAAAACTGTGTGGATCAACTCCTATGTATCCATCAATTATAGGATAGACCTTCTTTTACGATCCCATTCAGATCATAAAGTTTGTTCTCAAAAATGAAAAGTTCACGATGATACCTATTATATACAAAGAATAGAATTAAGTAGTATGTTCAATTTCTAAGAAACTGATATGAACAAACTTTTGCTACGAATATTTGAAACATCGCACGACAAAATAAATAGAATTGAAGACTATAGAATATAAAAAGCCATGACTAAATAGTAAATTGTGAATATTAATTGATCATGAATGCTGATTGAAAAATATTTGTACTTTGAATACAGTTATAATTTACATAGAGACGTGTTCAATCATTGGATGCCCCAATTTGCTTACTTTCTGTTATCATCTAAAAAGTCTAACTATATTCGGGCAAAATGATCACCTTCATCGCTTTTAAGGCACTGAATAATTTCATATAAGACAGCCATCGGTAACTAATATTTTAAATTAAGTAGGTTAGCGATGAGGGTGATAATTTGGCCCAAATACGACTAGGCTTTTGAAATGATAAAATAAAGAAAACAAATTGAGGCATTTTATTAGACACGCCCATAGATAATGTAACAAGGCGTTTTGTATCTTAATTTATTATGTAGTAAATGTAACAATAAAACGTATATTTTCTATTTAGTTTTTGTAAAGTTTAGCAGCACGTTGAACATAGTGAACTAAATTAGTATATGTTGATGTAGGTGATGATATTCGAAAGATGATTCAAGTGTTAATTATTATACTAATGATACTTGATAAGATCGAAAATTTCATCGAAATACAAGAATAATTTTATATTTAAATGAACGATATGTGTTTTTTATTGTTACATTTACTTTATTTTAAATTTAATATAATTGATTGATAGACGAAAAAGAATACAGGGTAGGCGAAAAAACTCACTTCCTCCTTCGTTATGAAATGTACTTGGTTTTTTAATCAATTTATTTTGCAATAGATAGAGCTGGAAAAAACGCTTTTAAATAAAACCGTTATTTGTTGTTGGAGCACATTTTATCGTAAGTGGAGACAATGTAGAAATTCATTGTATGTGAAATTCATTTTGGAACGAAATTATATTTGCTAGATTCCGATCTTTTAGAAAACTTTAAGAATTCATTAACGAAACAGTATAATGATCTGAAATTGTCAGGCTATGTTTCATGAAGTTCACAACTTAAATATACATATAAAGCATTTTGGACTCGAGCTAAGTTTCTACTATTATTAAAAGTATCCCTACAATAGTAATATTTCATTGTTTTTTGCATTTCTAGTGAATGTACTAAGCTTATGATGCCTTGTTACCAGTATGTCATAGAAACCTTTGCATATTTTATAAGCTTTTAGCACTTGACTGCATTATGTTTCTAAATATTGAATCTACTAACTCGTTGAAAAATTTTTCATAGAATGTACTAGAAACTGACCAAGTATCTGGTAAGTACTCACGTACTGAGATCATTCCCAGAGGAATATCCAAACAAGATCTTGTGACATACTGGTAACAGGGCACCCAAAAAGGTATCCTGCTAACAATTGACCCAGTATGCAGGCGCCTTGAAGTCATCACATTCACTAGAGACAAAGTGTGTATTCTACAAATTTCGTTAATTCATTACTTTGGAAACTTCAGAAGCCTGAAAATGCTAGTCATACTAGTCCAGAAAACTCAGAACTCTTTTTTGCAATAAAGCATGATTTACCTATTTTTACTACATAGTTTTGAGATTTCATATGCGCTTTACGGGGAAGAAGAAAAAAATCATGTAACCGTGGCATATTGTAGGAGTAATTGTTCTCTATCTCGTTGTGTGTTCATTCTGTGTTCAAAGTAATGTCTCGGAAAAAACTCACCGATATTCTTGAAGAACATATTTTGGGTTTCTTGCAGTGAAAATACTCCCAACCACAAATAGTTAAAATTTTAAAACATAATCCAGTCGGTATATCTCAAAAAACTGTATCTCATGTTAAACGAAAGATTGGCCGTTGATTCGAAAAAAACTAAAAATTAATAAATTAACGCCATCGAACGCCGATAAATGTCACCAACGTGCACATCGACTGTATCGACATTTAGCTAATAGTCGCTACAAAAATTTTATCACGACCGACGGATCTTGGTTGTATCTTGACAGCATCGAAGAAAAAAGGAAAGTTTGTTAAATAACAAAGACTAATCCGAACTATGAAAAAATGATAATTTAATAAGATTCATTTCGTCAACAAGGATTTATAGTATGGACTGGTATTTGATCTCGTGACAAGACGTCTCTTGATTTTGTTAAACCTAGTGTCAAAATTAATTCAAATTATTACATCGACAAAATTTTGAAAACATTTTTTATCATATGATGTTTCTCGTTTGTTTTCAAACAATGAAACAACAAAAATAATTTATCATCAAGACAATACTCTCAGTCACACTTCAAAAAAAAAAAGAATTGCTTTTTTAAATGAATTAAAAATTAAATATGCTAATTCCGAGAAATGAATGTTCAACTCACTAGATGCAACTTCCATGGATTATTCTGTCCGGAAGTATTTGAAATAACGGTTGTACAAACAGAAATTTTAGCGTACTGATCAAAATGAGTATTCCTTACTCTTAAAGCTCGTAGCATGCATATAGAACATCGTTTAAAATCATAACATTTTTCTTTCGTCTATAATAATAGTAGACGAACTAGTAAAAATAAGTGAATCATGCTTTATTGCAAAAAAAAAAGAGTTCTGTGTTTTTTCGACAACACTGTATGCTATTGATCATATTAATATGTATATTTCAGTTAAGTATGTTTAATATGAAAGAAAAGAAGTTTTCAATAATTCGTAGACGACATTTTCTTTTATGATATATATAAAAGGAATAATGGAAAACATCTAAGCAAAAACGAATTAATCATCTTCTCTTTTTGTCTATGACGCGTCATTGTCAACAATAAAGTGAAATATATTCTTGAATTGTGTACTTTTCATACGAAACAAATATATTATATATATATACATTTATCTATAATCGTCATAAACGATAATTGTTCACGCTTGAGTGTGTAGCATGTGAGACAAAAAAGAGAACGATCACAAAAAAAGGAAGGAAGAAATGAAAAAAAATATACTGATGACAAAAAAAAATCAACCAACCAATACTTATGTAAAACATGTTGTCACCATGCTATACTCATGTTCTTTTAATAATTTCGTGTATAATATTTTTTTTTTCGGCTATTTCTTTTATCAAACGTATTCAAATTCATTCAAATTTAACTCAACCGACTCAAATCTTATCCGTTTATGATAATCATCATTCTCAAAATCAATTTTCTTCATACACCACAATTATCAATAAAAATCATTTAAATACTTCAGATGAACAAATCAATGAAAGATTTCTTAATAAAAAAGTTCTTGCATTGAATAAAACATATAATTCAATATTAGATCGTTTAACATTTATTAATCCACCAAAATCAATATGTATTTATCCAAAGCATACACAAAATTTCATAGTTTTTATTGTTCTTTCACGTGCACTTAATTTTGATTTTCGTCAAGCAATTCGTGCTACATGGGGCCGTAATGGAAAATATAAACAATATAATATTTATGTACAAACTATATTTTTTGTTGGAACTGACGATAGTGTTCAATCAGCTATACGACTTGAACAATCATTATTTAATGATGTTGTTGAAGTTGGTAAGTCGAATAAAAATTTAATCATTTAGAAATCTCATCTTTGATTGTCTGACTATGTGTGCGACGATGCTGACTTTTCTTTTTTTTTTTAAACGAATCTTCTCAAGTTTTTGTTTTTTATTTTTTATTGACTAGTTATACCAGAAAATTATCCATTTGTCGCTCATAAAGAATTAGCATCTTTATTCTGGACTCGTCTTTATTGTCCATTAGCTCGTCTTATATTTCGTGCTGATGATGACATCTTATTGGATACATTTTTATTATTAGATTATATAAAAAATCATTTAAATATTAATACTCAAGATGGTTTACATGGATGGTTTCGTTTTAATAATACAGTTCATCGTGCAGATAAATGGGCTATAACAAAAATTGAATATAAACCAAAAATATATCCTCCATATACATTTGGTATAGGTTATTTATTTTCAAATGTTTCATGTCAACGTTTAGTTAATGCAGCCAATCGTCCAAAACATCAAGTAATACGTGTGGGTGATGCATATATAACTGGTATTTTACGTGATTTAGCACGAATACCATATTATGATTTTCAAAATCTTGAATATGCTTATACATTTTATAATCCAATATCATGTGATATATTTTTTGAGGATAAACCTCAGTTATTATTATGTATGTCAAAATTACATGTTGGAATACGTGATGATCCATTTGAATTCTATGATGTTTGGAATATTATTTTAACTAAACATCATACATCATTATCAAATGCAACTTGATTAGATTATTTATGATTGTTTTATTCAGTCTGCTGTATTTTATATCAACGAAATAAAAAAATATTCAACTTGAGATATGATCGAAAAGTTATTGAATGAAAAAATCTTTGTT